TGTCAAAATTTTAAATAAAATGTTCTGTGAACAGATGTCTTTATTTCGTATCCGGTATAATTGTCTACAACTGACTAAAGAAGCTGATGAAGATTATACTACGTATGCTGGAGGAGTAAATTTACAAGCAGTACGGCCCTCTTCTTTATTTTTTTTAAATTCATAACAGTTCTAATCTTGATGAATATTCGTATCAATTCTTTCCAGTTTTATTTTCTTCCTCAAGTCAATGTAAAATAATTTTGCATAAAATTAAAAAAACACATTTTAAACATTTTTATTATGTTCATAAGAATATGGCAAACAATAAAACGTAGATGTAAATTAATAAAATGATGATAAATAGGAATCGTGGATGCGCACTACTGAGGAGTCCCACAATAGGACGAAACGGCCGTTCAGTACTTCTAGGTTTTCCATGGTGGTCTAGCTTCAACTGATAAGTAGTCTGATAACTAGGTTCAAGTTTTTCAAACAGCTCATGACGACACGTTGATATTTTTTTGCAGGTTAACAATAAAATCGCTATTTTCATTGGAAAATCTTTTAATTTATTATGAAGATGAACTTGTTAGTTAAGAATAGAGACTGTAGTCTTTTATTAAAGATTCTTCACCTAAACACTGTCATTAATTCTTTCTACGAATTTCAGAAAGAAGCTTCAATAATACTTAACCAAAATCTTGAGTAAAATAAAGAAATATATAATGACATGATTTTTGCATTTTGTAGGCAGAATTACACTGTACGTGATAATTGACTTTGTATACGTTTTTTTAAAACCTTTTTTCGTTTATAGAGTATTAATGACTTACTTATTTTAGTGATGTATCCTCAAATAAAACAGATACCTGTATTGTGTTGAGGCCCGTGTGATCGAGCCGTTATTATAATACTGAAAGTTATACAATTACGTTAGATTATTGATCCATTGGTCTAGATTGCTTGCACAAGACCAATAACTTTTTGTTAATCAACCACATAATGAACTTTATTTGACTATTAACTCAATCATAGTAGAATAACAACCGATATCAATACATAACGTCTACTGGCATATAGTACAGCTTCACACAACTTTTTACCTTATAGCCAGAATAAAATAACAAAGCGGGGCAGATAACTTATATTTGAATTGTACGATTTTTAACCTATGTTATAATGTAAATTAATTATTTGACCTCATGACAGCAAAAATACCAAAGTACAATTTACACATGATTATACCGTAAGTGAAGGAGAACTGAACAAGTCTGTAATGAATTAATAACATAGTACAAAAGTTCATGCACTCAACGAAAGCTTATAAACAGTAATTCAACTGTATAATATAAGTTATATAATATACCCTTGTGGGCCAGGGTAATCTTGCACTGATTTTCAGGAGAACCAGACACCATCCATACTTTCACGTGACAACTCAAACAGTACAGCAAAATCCCGTTTAACAGGAGAGCCAGACACTGCCCAGGCTTAACCTGAGCAGCACAGCTCAATCCCGACCCATAGGAGAACCAGACACTATATGGGCTTCAACACTACAATCCGAACAATACACCTCAATCCTGTGGCGCAACCACACAGGTACCAATTACCCTGGTGGACTATTCGCACCATTCATATACACATTCACATCACATGTATAATTATTCCGATCAGTGATCGCGTAAATCAATTATGCACAGGCCAAAGTTGACCCATTCCACTTACACGACAGTTAAACTCATTAATGTTAGCAATGGCGATATGCCTTATAATGCTCCAATGACAGCAAACCATAATTCTGTGTAAGATAGTTCCAAAAGTTACAAATTCTGGATTATTCACATTACAGCTGTTAGAAATAATTACAATCACAAACTTTTTCCTATTCATTACCAAGTAATTAATCAACATCTATGTTTTTGTTCAACTCAAATCAGTCAGTACAACAATATGAATATGGTAAAAGTATGTTACAGTTGTTTTTCTTTATTACAAAACTGTTTTACGTTGGATTATTTTATGTGAATTCATTATAAATTTTAGCCTAGGTGACAGATGTGAACTTGATTCATTATGACTTTTTATAGTAAATATTTCGTGTATTAACTAAGTACAACTTTAGCAGAGATGGATAGTGGCTAGCAGTGGAATCCAGGACGCGCGTTTCGTCCTATTTGGGACTCGTCAGCTGGATGTACCTGCATCTCAGAGTTGATGTTCACTCTACGACTCGAACCCAGTACCCTCGCTTCAAACGCCATCGCGTTATCCACTCGGCCACTGAGTCCTGATAGCCAAATCGATGGGAAGATTCAAACAAACAATACTAAGTTGAATTTAAGTACAACTTTGTTTCATATAATAAATATGAACTTGTGTTCTGTAGCATTTATATTCTCTGAACTATATTGAGTGTACTTTTATAGTAAATTTATGTATTTTCTCCTATACATAATGTTACTGTGTAAAAATGTTTATATGTTTGCTTAATTAGAATGCAATTTTTGGGACTTGTTTTGGGAAAGACCATAGATCTTCACTGGACCAATCTTTCGTGTTCTCATTTAGTATCGGGGGAATTGCAGTGGTCTCGTTTCAGTGTATAAGCAATAGGATCAATGAGTTGCAATGGTTTCTAGGTGTTAAACATAAGCTGTAAGGCTACAGACTTAACACATACATTCATAGGAACGTCACCCAGGCATAACAGTGATGACTCAGCATGTACAATGTTATTCCACTAAAAGTTTGTTATTTTGCCTCTCTTAAAATGTATAAAATGAAGAGAAGTGTGGCGAGTGTCGCGACTTAAAGTTTTACGGAAAAATAATTCTGTTGAAAGTCGAATGCTGGATTCTTCGTTACCGAACATATTAATCTTTATCTGTACTACTTATTTCGTACTATTTCAAGTTTTAACAATGGCTGAATGTTATAAAAGATAAAAACCAAACAAAAATCATATAATACATTTCCTGAATGATATGGGAATAAAAATTATCAGTGAGAATTGTGATATTTCGAACTATCCTTATCATTTGTGAAGTTTACAATACAAAATGCAAATAAGAGGTGTAAATCACTTGCAGAATTCAGTTATGACATGCTTCAGTAACATTCACGTCCTAGTATCTGATTGACATCAAATCCTCGAAAGTGCTTGCCAGTTGATTTGCATGTATTATTATTATACCAAGTTACTACTGTCACATGAAAATGAATTATTTGTCATATTATTAACAATCGAGATTAAACTATTTTCGACATGGCCACCCTAATATATTTCTTTATATTAATTACTGCGTCATACCGAACTCAATGATTAGAGCATACAGTTGTCCTGATATGCTCCTTGTGGAATCAGTTCTTTTCTCCACTAAATCCCTACTCGTGATTTTCCAGTTTCACGTTGATGAGCACCAATAACTAGTGGTAATTGTTTGAAATTCTAATGGAATTATACTGCTAAGTGCTACTTCGTAAGGCATATACATAACAGGTCATAATTAGTCATGCCAAGTCGATTGAGGATATTAGGATGTCTGTGTCATTAAAGTTTTCATCAATAATGAGTTTAATATTTCATATACAATGGTGCTTCAATTCATTACATGCCTTGTTTTAGCGACGACACTAGTTATGTTAATGGATCACGCAAAGTTACACATACGTAACAACAGTGGTTTAAACGTGTGATGTCGAATCTATGGTACTGATTTACATACAAGAAACAGAAACGACTACTGACCACATACTAGAAATATTTTCCACATATAAGTTTTATTGGAAAGTATATTCATTTAGGATGCATATTCTAAGATTGGTGCATAAAACATTGGTATAGATTACCAACAGATTTCGCAGCATTCAATGATAATGTGAGAGCTTAATATTAACTCGGAAGTAATTAAAATATAGACAGATCATCAGCACTTTTCATCCAGAATTGCTATATCTGGCTGGAAATTGAGCACTAACATGATCGACCATAATTGCCTGTATTGTAATTTACGGAATTCCAGCGTATTTTTAAAAGTCATTCTTTGCCAAGTTTATTGTTGAGAATTATTTCAAAAATACACCACTTCTTAGAGTGGGTATTTACGCAAAACCTACATAGGCTTGTTTTTTTCGTTTCAGTAGCGTTTAACCAGATTATTCAACTCCGTGAGAAAAATTAGTTACAAATGTATCAAAGTGTGACCTTTTTCTTTACATAAATCGAGATCGATGCAAAACCTATTATAATGGCATTTTGTTTTCTTGATAAGTCAAAAAATAATAAACGATACAAGTTGTACTCTTACAAACATGGATTGTATATGTTTGCAGTGTACAAATATATAGAGCATAATAATATTTTTTTTAGTGCATCATTATGACAATGTTTTTACCAAGTAAATCCAATGACCTCAAAAGTTGAGGTGTTTAAGTAAATACGTCAGTTGTAAAACACTAACTTCCTCTCTTAATAACGTAGCCATTGAGAAAAGTTTTAAATTCATGAATAATCAGATATACGAAAAACTTTGATACACAGATCAGTAGACTGAAATTATTGACTTCGAAAAAAAAGAATTGAATCAAAAAACAGCGAATAAAATGCAATGATTGATAAAATATATTCAGATCTCCATGTGAGGAAACAACAAGAAACAGAAAATGCGTTTGATTTCTAGCTATCTTATACGATTTCATCTATTGAACAAGTTACATGGATAAAAGTTGAGAATCATTATGGGCTAAAGTCAGAACATAAAACGCGTTATATAACCCAATAGCATTTACATACGCTTGTGTAATCGTATCATTAAGTTCTTCGAGTTTCTTTTTTTAAAAACATGAATAACAATCTTTATTATTCATAAACAAACAAATTTAAACTGTGCTGCTTATCGTTTTTAATAAATACCACCAGCTTGATTAAACATAAAATAATCAAATAAATGAACTCAGTGAGAAGGTGAAAACGCATATATCGATCGTCGCACGGACGAGTCTTTTAAGTAAAAAAAATATAGATGGTCGAGTTTCTAGAAAAAAGATGTACACATACTTAGAGTTTATTTACTATGACCGAGGATAGAAGCTATTATGGACTCTCAGCGGATAAACTACGGTATTTACGAATGATAATAATTACAATAATGGTGATAATAAAATTCCGCTAAACATGATAACAATCTTTCATCGTAGAACGCTGAGACTTCCCTAACTAATTTTAATTTACTAATCTATCTTCATGATGAACATTAAACCCCTCAGTAACAAAATTATAATTAGCTTCTTTAGTAAAAATAACATTTTTATGTCTTTATTTATTCTACCTTACTGTTACCGTGTTTAGCAGGATTCTGTTATCACTATCGCTGTAATTATTATCATTTCGAAAATTAAGTATATATTTGCGATCGCACAACATTGAAAATGAATTCGACGAAAAGAGAACTCTTCGCTGAATCAATTTTGTTTAAATGGGTATATTCCGTTCACTTAGCAACAAATCTCTCCAATGCAAATTGTCAATAACAGATTTCAAGAAGTCTGTGTACTAAAACCAGCGACCAGATTTTCTATGTTAGTAGTTGCTACAAAAACTATCTGATTACTGAAAAAAATATCTCAACGTGAACGATAAGTAATAGCTGCATGACAGAATAAGTGCAGAACTTTAGAATTAACCAAGTTCCTCTCCACTTCAATACTTATCAACAAGTGTGCGAAATAAGAGTGGAACTAAAAAAGCAGGAATTGTCAAAAACTGTTAGTAGGTGTAAAAGTTGACACTTATTCATGGGCTACGTGTTAAAAAGAAAACAACAGTAAAACGAGGGTTTCGTGGAGAATTCTACAGCAAATAGAAATGAATATAACTAAAAACTAACTTAGACGAATGAAATAGTATTTACTACAACTTGTAATTATCGAGTGACTGACTAGAAAGCTATGGGAGAAAAAAACTAATGTAAGTAATGAAAGTGACCAACACCTACTACTGACCGATATTTAGGAAGATGGTAAAAACAGAAAACCTTATTACTCATCAAATATATGTATATTAGTGGGACAATTTCATGGTCTCAGGTTTAAAGGGTTAAAGAACCGCAAAATAATTTGGCGTAAAATTAAAACGAAAAATAAAGAAGTGAAAATCAGGATTTCAGGTTAAGCATAAGAGCAGATAAGAAAGGGATGATTATTCAAAAGCTTATTTATGTAATATGATTTATTAAATGGAACATTTACTTAAGAAGCATAAAATTATGTGTAACGAACTAAGTGGCAAGGGTAAAAACATGTGAACTTGACAATAATTAACAACTATACAGGTAAAACAAAATGACGCGGAAAGAAAACAATATTGAATAACGTAAGGCAAAAGACATTGATGGCTAGTAGGAAGCATATAAGTCAATTTTTAGGAACATAAACAGTTGAGTCCCCAAATGTAAACACCGAAACACAAAGGCTATAAAAACATTTAAGATTTTCGTTTGATTCATATGAAGTGAAAAAACAAGTAACTGTAATTACCGACTCACTGACAGATATATGTATATGAAAATATGAACGGAGTAGTACAGTGCAGGAATTAAGAAAATATGAGAAACAGGAAGTGTATGGTGACAACATTAAATATAATCAAAAATTAAGAGAATAATACTTTACATATAATTTTAAAAATTAATAGAATTTTAGTAAGCAGGAAGTGGGAATAAATCAGAACAGCAGGAGGAAAGGGAAGTGATCTTCTAGTAATACATTACTTCCAAAATCGAATATCCTAAACAAAACATTGTGTAATTTTCTCAAGGGAAAGCGAAGCATATTAATTAGCCGAAATAATAATAGTATCAACGAACAAACAAATTCAGAAAAAGAACCAATACAAAAGCACTGCTTTTCATCGTCTATTCTACTACCTTGTGAAACTTCCATGTGATGTAGGGAAGATGTGAAGAAAAATAAAGGAGAAACGCAATCGGAAAGAGAAAGATAATCATAATAAACTAAATAAACCCAACTATTGCGTGCTTGTAATTACAAGTTAACAATAGTTATTACACACATCTTTTAAAATCAAAATAGTCCCCTAGTCATCATCCCTTTAAGGTTGAAGGATTTGCATAATCATTCGGAAGTTTAAGGCACAGCCACACTTGCATCACACTTTAAAGATGTTCTGTTAAGTTTTTAGAAACAATAGAGGAATGATTTCTCAGATGTGTGTGCAGAATGTAAGCGAAATTACTAATTATATTTATCTATATCTTCTAGGGTTGACGACGATATGATGCGAAACTGTGGACCGTAATGCAAATGAGCTGGTAGTTATTCATACTCAAACGATACAGCTTATCATTTACTCTTTGATTTGTCTTTAGGTTTTAAAGAGAATGAAGGGAGTTTGAAACGTCGTTTTTTCTTTTTATGTTTACCCTGTAAAAATAAAAGGTAATAATATAAAACATAACTAACTGGTACAAAAAATTATAACAAATCAGTCAAAACGTCACAGCATTAAAAGGGAAGAATGAATAAAGAGTGAATACGATTAAGAAATTAAGTTTTCGGAGATTATTGAACATACGAATCGATATAAGTTAGACAATCATTGAAAGCCGGGAAACACTGTACCGTTGTTTCATCCTAGTATGGGACTCCTCATTAGTGCACGTTCACGACCCCATCGAGGGTCGGACACAAGACCACGTCGATCAATTTGCGATATTGGTGGGTAATTGCCTCATACCCGACACGTTCGAACTCAAAGTCGCAACTTCTCATTAGAATTCAGGAATTACTTTGTAGAAATTGGTTACCAATAGGGACGTGATGGGGGGGTCTGAATATTATTGAGACAGCTCGCAGTTGCTTAATATGATTGGTATTTAGTTTCTTAAGTTAAGACATTCGTCGCCTCTCTTTATGATGCATACAATGATCAGAGAATTTGAAGCATGTATTAACTATACATTCAAAACTAGAAAGTTATAATCCTTCAAAAATATTCGAAAGAAAACTAACGTTACTGCATTCTAACAATGTGTTGTGCCCCGAAATAACTTGGTACGGCCGAGGGTGGGGAGAGTCAACTCTCACTCTCTCTCGAAATGTTCTTACAAGGCCACGCGTATACAGACACTGTCAGGGAAGTCCTACTCACCGCTGTCTTGTGGCAAATGGTTGTTTACGAAATTGAGAGGACGAAAAGCGAAAGTCCGGCGCTTTAACTGGATTAGTGGACGCGGAGGGTCCAGGATCCTAAGGAAACAAATGGCGTATGAACCTATTGTTGGTCACCAGCTACAATGGGACTGTATCTCCTAGTTGCTACACGGCCTTGTGGGTTAGACCTTTAGGTCAAAGGCTCAGGGTGTGGACTTCTAAGAAAACCACCTGCTTTGGTTGGGGCCCCCGAGCAGTATCCCATACCTATTTAGTGTCTCCTTGTGCCAATGTTTATGTGTTTAAATAAATAAGGATATGAAATGAGGATATGAGATTCTTCAGATAAATGTTGAATTTATTTGTATTTCGTGTATTGGAATGGTGATTTGACAATTAATCTATTTAACACACGGTTTTGAGCTCATTCAAACTGTTTACAGATCTGTTTGCAATAAAAACGACAGCTATTCTCCTATTTTCAAATTTTATGTCATCTAGTCAAAAACTTCAAGTTACATGAAGTAGCACGACTATATTTTCAACGACTTATCGCAGAACGTGATATCATTATTACTTATCTAAACGGAATACATATGGAATGACATAAATATTAACATCTTAAGTCTAAAAAAAGTAATAATAGTAGAACGGAAAATTATTAACACAAAAATTAAAGTCATTCAACTGTACAAAATCTAACCACCCAAACAACACATAGCGGCAGGTGGGGGTGAAAATAATTAGCTTACATCATTTTCACTCATATCTTCAGTTCCACTCGGTTCTGATGTCAGTGTCCCTGTCGTAGGTGGTGGTGCTAAGCGACCTGTAACAAAAATGGAGATAGGTGATATCCAGTGTGAAAATTAAGTAAAGGGATTTCAATAACCAACAATATTTACAATAACAATAACAGTGATATTAGTAACATATACGAAAATGGCAAAGCACTAAATTGAAAAAACAACAAATTATTGTATCGATTTTTTAACCAACCAGTAACCGGACTGTCGATCGGGTACGTCTCTGAATGACGAATTTCTCCAACTCTTGCATTATGTACAGACGGTGATAATTCAGATAATGAATGAATAGCTGGAATCATTTCACCAAGGATAAAATGTACACCGATCGGTAGAATATATTATTATCAGCAAAGGAATAAATTTATATTTCCGGTTGAACGAACAATCAAGAATTAGAGGGGTTGGGAGAGGTGTGTGACATGCAGGCAAGCAGGTAAACAAGTTAGGGAAAAACAAAAAAGAAAACAAAAAGTATACCGTCAGATCAGTATTACACATACTGAACAATTATTGCTAATAGTAAACGGTTGCTATAATGTTATTATTATTATACAGATCAATAACGGAAAAACATGCCAGCTAATCAAACTGATTCCTTAAAAAATTTAATCATATGTGAACCAACTACTATTGAACAAGTCAATTTTCGTGCAAATTTTAAGTCATATATATGAGAATTCGCTGTTATAAATGAAAAAGATAAACTAATTAATGAGTGGTATTCGAAACTTTGCTATAGGCATGCACTTATAATACACCACAAAACTTAAAATCATTCTTGTATACATATCAAGTAAATTAAGTAATAATTTTACATTGATTTAAATATTTAACTTAAAATAATTTAAACTGCTGTTGGGTGAAGGATGACATCTTGCAAATTTATATTCATAGAAAGTTGTTATACGATGATGATGTAACAATAAACCGAAAAAGGATTCACCAAACCATTGATTTTTAACATTAATAAAGGATCAAAATATCAACTTTATCTTTTTATTTAAAAGTCACTATATATAAAATCAATCATTACTAAAACTCAAGAAGCAGTGGACAACGGCGCGGACAACATCACTAAAGTTTAATACGGCCTTTCTTCGAGATGCTGACAAACTCAACAAATTCAACATAACCCTCAGCAACAGGTTCCAGGCCTTTTATGATCTACTCAATGGAGAGAGGACTACCATGGAGAGCAACTGGAAAGGTATCAAGGAGGCAATCGTTTCAACGTGTCAGGAGGTTCTGGGCCGAAAGAAGCACCATCACAAGGAATGGATCACTGTTGGTATACTGGATAAGATTGAAGAAAGGAGGAACAAGAAGGCAGCAATCAATATCAGCCGAACCAGAGCGGAAAAAGCCAAGGCACAAGCCGAATACACAGAGGCAAACAAGCAAGTGAAGAGGAGCATCAGAACCGACAAACGTAAATATGTTGAAGATTTAGCAACGACAGCGGAAAAGGCTGCAAGAGAAGGAAACATGAGACAATTGTATGATACAACAAAGAAACTTGCTGGAAATTACCGTAAGCCAGAAAGACCAGTGAAAAGCAAGGAAGGCAAAGTAATCACCGACATTGAAGAACAACGAAACAGGTGGGTAGAACACTTCAAAGAACTCTTGAATCGACCAGCCCCACTGAACCCACCCAACATCGAAGCGGCACCCACAGACCTCCCAATCGATATTGAGCCACCAACAATTGAAGAGATCAGCATGGCCATTAGACAAGTCAAGAGTGGCAAAGCAGTGGGACCAGACAACATCCCGGCAGAGGCACTGAAAGCAAATGTAACAGCAACTGCCAAGATACTCCACATCCTCTTCAGTAAGATTTGGGACGAAGAACAAGTACCAACAGACTGGAAAAAAGGACTTCTGATCAAGATACCAAAGAAAGGCGATCTCAGCAAGTGCGACAACTACAGGGGCATCACTCTTCTCTCAATACCAGGAAAAGTCTTCAACCGAGTACTGTTAAACAGGATGAATGATTCCGTGGACGCCCAACTTCGAGATCAACAAGCTGGATTTCGTAAGGATAGATCGTGCACAGATCAAATCGCAACTCTGCGGATCATTGTGGAACAATCAATCGAATGGAATTCATCATTCTACATCAACTTCATCGACTACGAGAAGGCATTTGATAGTGTGGACAGGACGACACTATGGAAGCTTCTTCGACACTACGGCGTGCCTGAGAAGATAGTCAATATCATACGGAACTCCTATGATGGACTAAACTGCCAAATCGTCCACGGAGGACAACTCACCGACTCGTTTCAAGTAAAGACCGGTGTGAGGCAAGGTTGCCTACTCTCACCGTTTCTCTTTCTCCTGGTAATCGACTGGACCATGAAGACGTCAACATCTGGAGGAAATCACGGGATACAGTGGACAGGCAGGATGCAGCTTGACGATTTAGACTTCGTGGATGATCTGGCTCTTCTATCACAAACGCAACAACAAATGCAGGAGAAAACGACCAGTGTAGCAGCAGCCTCAGCAGCAGTAGGTCTCAATATAAACAAAGAGAAATGCAAGACTCTTCGATACAATACGATATGCACCAATCAAATTAAACTTGACGGAGAAGCTTTGGAGGATGTGGAAATCTTTACATATCTGGGCAGCATCATTGGTGAACACGGTGGATCAGATGCAGATGTGAGGGCGCGGATCGGCAAAGCAAGAGCAGCATACCTACGACTGAAAAGCATCTGGAGCTCAAAACAATTGTCAACCAACACCAAGGTTAGAATTTTCAATACAAATGTCAAGACAGTTCTACTGTATGGGGCGGAGACGTGGAGAACTACGAAAGCCATTATCCAGAAGATACAAGTGTTCATCAACAGCTGTCTACGCAAAATACTTCGGATCCGATGGGTTGGAGAAAGCTGGTCGGCTACCTATGCTCCATTAGGAGTAACAGGCGTAAGTAAGTAATATATAAAATCAATCATTACATAGTTTACGCTAGGGAAGAGTAAGCGAGACATAGCGACGAGCAGTAATTATTCATATGTTAAAGCTTCTGGTGATTGAATCCTGGATTCAAGTCCCGAGTGCAGGATCGCGGATGCGCATTGTTGAGGAGTCCCATAATAGAACGAAACGGTCATCCAGTATCCTGAAGTTTTCAACGGTGGTCTAGCTTAGATTGACCCGTGAATTTGACTGTAAAGCTAATTCATCATAGATAGAACTAACATTGTTTGACAATATAGTTTTACTTTCTCCTTGCCAAGATATTCGTGAACAAGATGTTTTTTTGCAGGGGAGTGAGTTATCTAGTCACTTCCAGTGTCGAAAATAAATTAAATAAGGTAGCAAAAAAAACATCTACCACTTATTACACATATTATTTTGTAAAAATTCCTAATTCTTTTTATTGGTTAAAAACCAGTTTAAACGAAAGAGAATAAATCTTGATAAGAATTTGGAAAATTTTCACATGTTACACAAGTAATCAATTCGATTGACTGTACAAACAAATTTGAAAAAAGCTATGAACTGACGTTTGTTAAATAAACAAATTCAAGACAGATGTTACCAAATGTTAGAATAATTTAGAGAAGCAAATGATAAATATCTATAAATATTCTAACGCAAAGGTTTTTCTGAAATTTATTTTTAGATATCTGAATGGATTTGATTGATTAACTTATGCTCTTCTATGTATGTTCAAGGAAGAAAAACTCGTGCCTTTAAATTTGAAAAGAGAACCAATAAAATAATTACTTGGACCAAGTTCGCTGGCACTTTCCAGATCCGTAGCACCGCTATCGACAGCTAACGAATCTATAAGATGTGCAGTAGAACTTGGAGCTTCGAAAGATGCATTTTGTCCGGTAAGGTGATCCATCTCGGCAACTAAATCAGGATTATTTTTAAGTTCAATTTCACGTCGATACATCTCTAATTCTTCATCGGTAATTTTTTCGAATGGATTTTGATGAGAATAAAGACCCTGTGAGAACAAAAGAGATATGAATTATTACTAAGTAGTTAGAAGGAAGAAATAAAGCATTTTATAAACCACTTAAGAAGTAAAATTTAGTTAACTGGCATGCATTCTAAGATCATAAAATACCTACTCATGTAAAGGAAATCACGGTAAAAAACTTTGCCAATGATATGAAATGACATATAATTATTACTTATGAACACAGTACAACAACGGTGTTAGAATGTGATGGGTATTTTAAACTGTGTGCGCCTATTCTAAATTTAACATCTATATTAAGCTTATAATACTGATGATTCACGAGTACACATATCGACACGTACTTATGTAACGAAGTAAATGGACAAACAGTTAAACAGAGGTTACAAACACGACTTTAAACAATCAGATGACCATGGGTTTGTATCAAACTCCATTTATCTGGATCTGTATAAGTACTATCGTTAAATTTTTAACCATTGATGTAGTTCGAAATATACTTCACAATGAATTACGGACTACGGTTAAACCTAATCAACATTCAAGCTCTTATATACGAGGTTTTAAACAATTTTCATTGAAACTATAAATTATAACTACAAGCCACCTAAACTAAATAACATAGCATAGAACTAGGTTGAAAAGTGTGAAAAACTTAAACTAATATTTTTGTTTATTGTGTTAGTGTTCATGTCAATAAAACTGAAGAATTGCAATTGACTTTTTACAAGCATTAGCAAGCTTTATATAAATGAAAAACACCAATAAAACTCCCTATTTTTTCTTTGTTTTTATTGATCTTATGTTGCTGAGATGGTTGACTTCGCTAGTTCAAAAGCACGAATCTACGTGGATACTATTCTAGAATAAATGAATAAAGAATGAAACTTACAGACCTGATAGAAATGAAACCAACGAGCACAAATAAACAAAATATGTTAATTAATAGCGCACAAACGTAAATGACAGCTACCATAAAGCTAGTAATGTATATACATACATATCATCGACACGGTAATAACTGTCCAACACTCCATTCCAGTTAAAAGTGACAGAATGTAGAAAAAGTACACACAAACTGCTTACGTCATATATCACTGCTGCATTTCGTATATCACGTTGGATAATTGCTTTACTAGCCGCAGCTACAGGCATTTCGCTAGTAACACCACCTGCCACTAAAGCAGCAGCTCTTGGACCTAATACTTTGACCAAACCTTCGTCACGAACTCGTCGAGCTTCATCCCATGTGAGACCATCCAACAGTCGAGATTGAGGTCCAGCAGTATTTGTGTCATGGTAATACTTCGCCTTGACCTTAATCAAAAGGAAATATACAAATGTTTACTATGACCACATATACCCAGTGCTACAATTATCAATGGAAAAAAGCTACTGTATGTCATATAGAATATGGGTTTATTGTCCCAGTGTATATTTGACGCCCAAAGGTGATCTATTCAGGATATTATTAATATTTTGGGATAATTTAAACAAATTCATATAATCACAGTTAAAGATAAGATCAGTAGTAATAAGCAATTAGAACTGAAACGACTGAATCGAAACACACTAATTAAGTATATGATCCATCATCTGTGCTAGATACAAAACCAATGATATCTAAAAGTAACTAATCTAACAGGGAAGCAAAATCTTTGATACACCAGGCACATATTATTATTTAGTATACTCTTGCTCCTACCTACCTAGAGGTTAATTAACTAAAGCTGACAAAATTAATGTGGTTTAGACGGATACTTGTTTGTGTGTAGACATTTTTCATTACATACTTGATTATGAAGATTTTCGTCATAGCTTCTTTACCAAATATAATTCGATACATCGAGTATTGTATGTGTTGTATCCCCTGGCGAATTATGAATCATAAATCTGAGGTCCATTTATGGACAAATGTTATACACCTATTCCTATTGGATAGTTGTCAAATAAGTGACCTAATCGTTTCCGTGTTCCTCTTATCATAACCTTTATTTTGACCTTGGAACTATTATTATTGATTACTTTCCCCCTAGCTACAGCCACATTGGCCAATTACTGTACAAATGTTATTTTTCTATTTTTGATATATGTGGTCTGTTTGGTTAGTATATATAGGCCAGTATGCTTGTAAATAATGATTCATATTGCTGAGGCTGTTATTTGTGTTCTGGACTTAACGGGCTGGGCTAGGCAGATAGGAAGGACCGAATAGCACCCAAGACTGCTCGTACGTATTTTCTGTATCATTGCACGTTCATATATATTATAAAGGCGCCAGGAAAACGATACGTTATAACAGTATGTGTACATAATTTTGAGGTCTCGTGACAAAAACATGTTCGTTTTATGGAGTATTTGTCATTTTCCTGTTTCAACTTGTGTACAAACACATTTGGTACTGTTGATTTACACTCATTAGTCAATGCGAGAGTTAATATTACCACCAATACATAAATAAATATTGTATTGAAATAATGGATAAAGCTTAAATAAAATATTAATTGTGAATAGAATTATTGCATATCATTTTAAAGTACTAATCTCAGGATTCTACCACTTGGCCTATAAGCTATGTTTATTGAACGAGTCCTACTTTTATTCTGATTCCGGAGTACTTAAACAAAGCGAAAAATTAAACCAATAATTAATGTAGTGGAAAATCAACAAAAATGTGTTCGTTTTAATCACACTGTAGCTGAACATGATCAGTTGAGTTACCGCTGATTGTATGTCCAAAGTCCAGTAGACAATTCATTACCACCGGATTCATTATTTTCAGGACATATTCCAAAAATTTATTAATTTTGAAGCCATTTTACTATTCATTAGTTGGACGTAAAGGTTCATAATAACCAAAAAATAAAACCCCAAAACTCGAATAGATACTATTATGTGCGTAATGGAGATACTTTAAGGGTCCATTCAGCTTACTTTCTTTTGCTGTTCTCGATATTCTTTTGGATTAGAACCTTGAGGAGCAAATACATTGTAGGGTGACATGACTGACGAAGTCCCAGTTGCCGGTCCACCAGTTGAACCAAGTGGTACTGCTCCATGAGTTAAAGGATGAAATGGTGCCGGAGGAGGTAGAGCACCATTACAAACAGCATTATGAACAGCTGCTTCACGTTCACAAACCCAATGTGGAACTGGTTGATGGCCTGGAGCAGGTTCAATTACTTCTTTAGTGTATTTGTTTGGTGTGTTAAACCATTGTTTCTCCGAAAACTCGCGCCTAAGAGTTCTGAAATAAATTTAAACATTTATTGTTGTCAGAGAAGTTATTATATACTTTATATAACCAACGTTAAAAGCTACTGTAAGAATTTTACAATACTATTTTCTGTCCAATCAAGTATAGGTTATAAATTGGGACATGAACCTGTATGTGACTTGATTCTGGCGTTTTAGAAAAATAAGCTTTTGCAATCTCAGCTGTTTAATGTCGATAACTTTTTGTACTTTATTTATTACACAGGAACCATTTGCTAATGTCGATAAATTAGTAATGACCGAAAACTAACAACTCAGATCATTCGGCTTTGGCGGTTTTATTTCAATCACAATGCATAAATAAACACAGTTGCACAGACACATTCGTTAAGCAGTAGAGCAAGTCATAATCTAACTGAATATCAACTTAAAAATGAAACGAGATTCATTCACGCAATAGCTAAAAAAATAAAATTTTTACCTTATTTAGGAGTTGTGAGAAGAGAAATGAAAGTTTAACAGATAGAAAGTTGAAGATATACTGCTGTCTAAAGGCACTAAGAAACGATTACAGAAAACGGTAGAATTGAGTAATACAGATAGATATTAGTGTAGTTACTGTAATACCGAGTGTCCTCAACATCTGCCAACATGAGATAAGGCTACAGGTTGCGTCGATGAATGTTAAAAAATGAATTGGAAAAGTGAGATATCAGAGACAATAACTAAACTTACGATGGTCTAGGTGTTTCCGTTTCATCACCTGAAAGAACTCCATCATCATAATAATAAGCCATTGTAGCAGTTACAGACGAAGCAGAAGGTGGAACTTGTATATCGTCGTCCTGACAACCAGCTCCACCGTGTCCATTTACTATCTTACTTTTTCGTGATCGATGTGGGCTCGCCATAGCCTCCTGGAAATAATATGTAGAAAAATAGTCCACAAAATATTCATAAGCCAGTTTTAATTTAATAGATCAGAGGTTATCGCATAGTTATAATAGAAATAGCAGAAACTGTCGGGTTAAGTTTTATATTTTATGGTCCATACAATAACCTAATTGCCAAAATGGAATTACATTTGTCTTTATACATAGTTCCTTGTTTAATTATCGACGTCTTTCAAGTATCTGAAGCATGACAATGGAGTGTATAGCAATTAACCTAAAAACACTTTCAAGTAGCGGTAGCTAACATAATAGGTCCACAGTCACACGACTGATACTAGTTATTGTTGACAGTAAATGATATCGTCTGGGACGAGAGTAAACTGGAAAAGCTTGACCTGAACCGAGTAAAGATACAACAGTATTCCATGAGGTCATTCACAACTAATTTATCGAATGTAAAATGACAGACATACTAAAGTTCGCGAAACAACAGATAAATGATTGGAGCCATTAAGTGAACTGAAGTGAATATCTATTGCAAATTTGCGGATGCGTTCACTTGTTATCTTGTGGTAAGTATGATAAAAACATTATTACCTTGTCATTTCCCATTTTGCTTCGAATTTCTTTTACTTGTTGATTATTTAGCAGTTTTACTTTGATGTACACCAAGTTAAATTAATGGACTATTGTGTGATGTTTTGGCGAGTATATAACATTTTACCGATAAATATGTCCCTTTTTGATTAAATAACACATATCAAACTTGGCTACTTAGAAATGTGCTGGAATAAAACTCACATAAGCTACTCTAATTTCTAAACTTGCACATGCTGCTAACTGCTGTAGTAAGTTGTCTAAGGATACCCAGATTCAGTGGTAAGTCTGACAACTTCAATGTCTATATCAATCATAACGTAGAGACAAATATGCGTTAGCCCTAGTTACTATACTACAGTATCTGCCACAAGATGCTGTGAATAGGACAATTCAGTTAACTGAGTTATTAGTAGCAATAAGTAGCGTTTCAATCTACCAAAACTTGACACCAAGTTAGTGATGTGAAATATTAGGCAAAATATATTCCTTGAGATTAGGTAAGGGTAAATTTGTACTACTTTATAGGTTCTAAAGTACTATTGTTGGCTGTATCTAACTACTAATTAATAATATACGATAGCGACCCTATCCATATTGCATTATATCCCTAATACGGGATTCGCCTATTTATTTTAGCACATGCTACCAATGAGAAGAGAGTGATAATTAGACAGCAAAAACAATGACTATATTATAGGCACATAGCAAGTAATGCAAACCTGAACGTAAAACTTGTTGATACCAAAGTCGGATAGTTATATATAAGGGAGGTATTAAAAATGAAATTTTCTGAATGCTAGTTTTGCTCATTCATCAGTACTGAGACTTTGCTACCCATCAATAGATCGAAAAAACTATGTTACAGTACAATCATGTATGTCCTAATTTGACTAAGCTTTTAATCATCTTGAATTACACGTATTAAATTCAAATACCATAAAGGAAAATTACGCTAAAAGAATAATAGAAAATAAACAACTAATGGGAAAAGCTTGACAATCATATACTCGTTAAATTTTCATTAGATTTAGAATCAATGAGCGTATCTTATCCCCAATTAACAGATATTACATGAAACAAAATTACCATTACCTGCCGATAAAGATGACCTGTACGGCAACCGGCGTTATCTAAATGACGCATCATAGCTTCGAATTCAAGTTCACCTAAACGCCATGGTCTGGCCAAATTACTTTCCACATTCGAACCATCTGGGATGAAACCATTTGTTACTGAATGTTGTCCTGTTTCACTAGTACCAGATTTATTAGGCGAAGATAGTCTTATAGCTAGTGCAGCTTCTGGACCACTAAGACCGCCTAATCCAGCCGTACGCCACGTTTCATAAGTTTTTTGCTTTAGTTTGTCTGTAGGGAGAATGAGATTTTCAGCACTGACTGAGGCCAATAAGAGCTAAAACATACACATTAGTTGTTTTTAGCAATAATGAATGAATGAAAGACTAAATTGATGATATTATAATCTCACTTCGATCAACATGTATTATGAAAGTTTCAGTACTGTATACACCGAACTTACTGTGAGTTCAAAGGTTTTTTTTCCACTGATTAGTGAATTTACGGGAAATAAGACGTGAAATGACAAAGGAACTTAGCACTATGAAACGAGCAGTGTGCCCAGAATATAATGAATCAAAACAGATAATTGTAATACCAATTATCACATTTGGTGATAAAAATAATGTTATAAACGAGGGTTTATGTTTTATGAGTTTACATTTTGCAAGTGTTATCTCGAATTAACACAAATGTCGTTCAACGTTAATCAGCAATCGAGCCAGTGACCTTGAAGAGTGCGTTTAACAACCTTGACTTCTTAATTTAAAGAGAAAAGGTCACAACAAAACTCTTATGTTTACTGAAAAGCTATCAGTCAAAACTCATGTGAAAGATGTGGGAGATGGAATTCAAAGTTGCGTAATAAATGGAACTTTATCACACATCTTATAGCAATTACTTAACACAACTAGTCTTTATATTGCTACTACATTATTCTTATTTTCCAGCTATTCGTCTTGTTAATCTCATTTATACTTTTCCAAATGCAATGACTAAGTGCGAAAATTTCCATTAAGCAGACCCTATGTTTGAAACCAGCTCAGTTTGAGTAGCTCCCAAATGCCCTGGTGCAGTCGAAGGTGAGGAGAGTCAACTCTCTCTCTCGAAATGTTCTTACAAGGCCACGCGTATACAGACACTGTCAGGGAAGTCCTACTCACCGCTGTCTTGTGGCAAATGGTTGTTTACGAAATTGAGAGGACGAAAAGCGAAAGTCCGGCGCTTTAACTGGATTAGTGGACGCGGAGGGTCCACCTAGGGAAGTTGGAAAATCCTGATTCCAAACCAGTGGTGAACGAAGGCTCCAGGATCCTAAGGAAACAAATGGCGTATGAACCTATTGTTGGTCACCAGCTACAATGGGACTGTATCTCCTAGTTGCTACACGGCCTTGTGGGTTAGACCTTTAGGTCAAAGGCTCGGGGTGTGGACTTCTAAGAAAACCACCTGCTTCGGCCTGGGCACCCAGACAGTATCTCAGTCTTCACACAAATCGAATGATTTATGTGGCGCACATCTGTTTGGTGCCTCCGTGTACCAATGTTTATATGTTTAAATAAATAAATAATCATACATCTGATCGTGCTAATATGGTGTGACAACTCGGGCCAACACACATCTCTCCAAGAATTTACGTCGATGATGGCAAACTGATATTTCATAGATCACTACATCATTTTATTGTGAACGATCTGTTATAAAAGCGACGGGCCATTGAAACTAAAAATAATAAGATTTGCTTAAGACTAGAATAGGACTATAAACAGCTATTTATACATTCATGGAAAATGTTTTTCTAGCCTATATCAGAACAGTTTCCTGAGTAGATAGAATGTTTATAGGTTATTGATTGGGATGCTTGCTTTCGGAAATAAATAAATAGATAGATTGTACATTAATGAAACCAAGAATACTAACTCTTGTGTAAAGAGAAATGAGTTACTGATAATACATACAATTCAGTAACTATATACAAGCTTGTGAGCTAGCCCATAAAGTTACACAATGCCTGAACCAAACATTTTGTTGAATATTGGTAAACTGAAGATTGACCAGTTGCAGTCCTAACAAATCGATGGGAAGATTCAAACAAACAATACTAAGTTGAATTTAAACTTCACCCCATCGCACAAGCAAGTGGCTATCAGGACTCAGTGGCCGAGTGGATAACGCGATGGCGTTTGAAGCGAGGGTACTGGGTTCGAGTCCCAGAGTGAACATCAAATCTGAGATGCAGGTACATCCAGCTGACGAGTCCCAAATAGGACGAAACGCGCGTCCTGGATTCCACTGCTAGCCACTATCCATCTCTGCTAACTATACCAGAACAGTTTCCTGAGTAGATAGAATGTTTATAGGCTATTGAGTGGGATGCTTGCTTTCGGAAATAAATAAATAGATAGATTGTACATTAATGAAACCAAGAATACTAACTCTTGTGTAAAGAGAAATGAGTTACTGACAATACATACAATTCAGTAACTATATACAAGCTTGTGAGCTAGCCCATAAAGTTACACAATGCCTGAACCAAACATTTTGTTGAATATTGGTAAACTGAAGATTTTATTCGGAGTAACTAACATGTGAATATTTTGTATTCAACAATTCCGTGACTTTACTGTTAGAATGAAGGGTTCAAAACAAGTCAACCTTAAACGTGAAAATGCCCACACAGATTCACCTCATTTAAATGTTTAAACTTAAATCCCCTTGAAATTTATCAGAAAAATACCTTGAGTTAAAATTTTTGGGACAGCTTTGAAGAGCACGATGAAGCCTCCAGAGACTCTAAAGTAGTCGGAGAGATTCTATTCAATCAAAATCTGGTAGAGTCTTCTAGAATATCAACGTGGCATGCTACGATTGGACGATAGCATGACTTGCCTACTTGCGAATTGGCTGAGTTATGATGATGTTATGACCAATACCAACAGCTATAAATACCCATGTCGTTTGTACATTTTCAATTTTTACCCAATAATTACTCTTCCTGCTTCTTCCATCTTCTGATTTGCGACTGTATGGTTCTACAAGTCCGAGAGCCGTTAGTTGTATATCATATTATGCCGTAATTAAGTAGAGGACGTAATAAAAATAAAGTATGAAGTGGTTTTAATTGATTGATTTTTATTGGGATTCAAGTTTTTAGAATTCCAACACGAATAAGAAATAATAACCACTACTCCACTATCATAGAGACATAACGGTTTTTGGAACTACAATAGATAAGTGTATTTGAAGTCCATCATAACATATTGACTAGAAGCGCACCTGCACACAAATAGAATCCATAAAAAAATGCTTGCCTGAGTATCACATGCAACTATTGCATTAGTTGCATAATGCCATGCCTCCTCGATCGTTTCACCTAAGGCAAGTAATCCAAGACTTCGTAGAAACAATATACGAGCAGTTGGACCTAAAGCTTCACTGACTGTTGCACATTCAGCTGCCCAATCTTTGATATCACCAAAATCTCCGTTAGCGTCAGCGTTGGTTCTACAGCTTAATCCACCGCTAGGAGTATAATAAGCCACTTCGCCCAAAATCATTGCTTCATTACAAAGAGGCAACAAACCCGATTTCATACAAGATATCTGGAGAAAGTACAAGGATTCATAACATTTAATATGAGGTTGTATAATAAAAATATGGTTTACTTAATTCATTTAGCATTGAGAAAACAGCTATGGATTAGTTTTGAAACATGATTCTTAACTTTTTCTGAATACAGTTTATTTCTGTTTTTGATGATAGACAAATATATTTAAGTTTACAATGTGCTCAGTAATAAACTGAATAGAAACACGAATATTTTGAAGGTATTCTCAATCTCTTGAGAGTAATGAATTAAGTAGTTTAGATAATATACATCAGAATCAAAGTAAAAATGCAGAAACCGACTTGTCTACTGTTGCCGCTAGTGACAATAAAAGCTTATTTTATATTTCTATGTATAAACACCTGAGAGGATTGGAAAAAGCTATCAATTTTGGAAGTTTTGTTATTTCCCTTAAATTGAACGTGGTTGAAATATCAAATATTTACCAACGAACAAAATGTAGTGTATGCACCTGTTATAGAGTCAGTTTTCTGCATTGTGAGGAATTCTAATTATTAGAACCGATGAAAAGAATGCTAATCAACAGATGATCGCAATAATAGGACTAAGTGATGGCTACTCACCGGACTGGGTAGTTGACTCAGGCCCCCGAATGATAAGAAATTAAAGACAAGACTACTGGCCCGATGAATGGTTTTTCATCTAATACATAACAAGCTTAGATACAAAATATGAACATAAACTAAACACAACAAAATGTCATAGGCTCTTGGAGGAAATTGGCTTGTAGGTCACTCATTCTCCGATCAATTATGACCTGGATATTAGGTCTAATCTTTGGGCATCGTATTAAAACCATAGTAGCTAAAGGTTACAAAATCCTTTAGTCCTTCTAAAATTATTTACGTTAAACAGGAAACATCAAAACCTCTCAAAACAAGCCAAAGACTAGATTGATAGAACAATAAAACTTGTTTGTCATTTAATATACTAACAAATAAACTTTAAAATGCAGTCCTTACAGCAACAGTGGAAGGGGTATCCAAGTGTATAATGCATCGGATATCAGCTCGAGCAGAATGAACAGCCGAATGTAAGGCCCAGGTTACTTGATTTACACCTAAAATGGTAGATCCTGGATCAAGTATCTGGCCTGTAAAATAAAAAGATAATTATGTATGGTTACATATAAGTCAAAATGATTAATAATTTACTGAAAGCGTGAAAAAACAGTGCAGGAGATCTTTTTGTATCGTTTATATTATTTAAATACATAAACATTGATACAAGGAGGCACCAAAAGCATAAGCACCACAAAATAATAATGGGGTTGTGAAGAGATAGAGAGGGCAAACAACAATGAACAGAAATCAATGCATGAGAGTGAATTAATAATAATTAGTAATAATAATGATAATAATAATAATAATAATAATAATAATAATAATAATAATAATAATAATAATAATAAGCGAAGCAGTTCAGTTAGGAAAAATACAACCAGAAGGATTTCTTTAAGTTAACGATTATTATTATTATTATTTATTTAAACACATGTTGGTACCAAGGGGCATCGAAATACATGTGCCACATTATAAGAAAATGAGGTACATGAATTCCTCGACTACATTATCTGCTCACTACCATGAGTAGGTTCAGGTTTACGGTCCTACCAGCCTTCTAATGGTAATTTGGACTTGGAAGATGAAGAACAAATATCGTTCATACAGACACAAATTGCTAATTGATTAAATGCGGATTGTATGACTTGGATATCATCGCACAGCAAAACAATATCATCTGTATGCTCGCAGTCGAAGTCTTTCCTCAGGTATTAGATCCATACTACCATTACCTATTCCCATCCTAACTGTTTACCAAACGTTACCGATAAAAGTCTTGAAAAGGAATAATGAGACTGGAAAACCCTGCGTAACCCCACTGATTGATGAAATAAAGGAGAAAGATGGTTGTATGTTTGCACTGTACCTGAGGTATTTGTATTATGGTGTACTCAAGCCATTGATAAACTCAGGCACACCTTTCAATAAACAATCTCAGAGAACAGTCCTGTTCAACAAATTGACAGTGGCCCTAATGTCGAGAAACGCAACGGTTGTTGGCCTGCAATTAGTATGGCAGTGTTCTAACATTTGGCGGAGGGTGAATATATGATTAATACATCCTCGACCAGAACGGAAACCAGCCTGTTCCTCGCGAGTCATTTCTTCTCGGGTTTTGAACGATTTACGAAGTATGACGGAAGCCCATAGTTTGGACACGATCGGAAGTAGACTTAACCCCCCCCCCATAGTTGTTGCAGAAACGACGTGAACCCTTTTTAAAGATAGGAACAACTATGGACTCACTCTACGATGTTTGAACACTCTGCAAACTTTTGTAAACAACTCAGTCCGTCGCTTAACCAGAAAGTCACCACCATATTTAAAAGGGGCCAGAGGTGAGTCGTCTGGGTCTGGTGATTTGTACCGCTTCAAGGGTTGGAGTTCCTTGAGGACTTTAGCCTCGTTAAGTGGATCAGTCGCCACAGGTAATGGAGGGCAGGACAATCGGATAGGTCGCCGGGGCAGATCAGTTGAACTGCTCCTCAAAAAATTCTGCCCACCATCCAAGACGTCGGTAGATGTTATTAGCTGGCATACCGTCAGCTTCACAGATTATTTCACACACCAGACTTTTTGATTCCAGTGATTTGGATGAGTTGAAAGCGCTCCCAGCAGTTATTGGAAGAAGCTGTTGTTTCCAGCTCGTTAGCACGCTCAGATCAGCAAATTTCTCAGTCCTGACACAAGCGTTGCACAATTTCATTACATAACAATCTTTGTACCGTTTAGTAACCCATATATTCCATGTGCTCCTGGGTTAGCAATAAACTTTCCATTTTGATCGCATCCATCCAAATCATCAGTCTCTTAAACGACTTTCAATCACATCGACAAAGTCTGGGTTACCGGAAACTGAACGTAAAATTTCAAACCCAAACCTTTGCTAACAACACAGTCAATTCCTTAGTCAGAAAGTCACCACCATCTTTAAAAAGAGCCGGAGGTAAGTCATCTGAGCCCGGTGATTTGTAGCGCTTCAAGAGTTGGAGTTCCTTGCGGACTTCCGCCTCGTTTGGTGGATCGGTCGTCACCGGCCGTGGGGGGGCAGGACAAACTGATTGATGTTGCAGGAGCAGCATGCCAGTTGAACTGCCCTTCGAAAAATTCCGCCCATCGTCCAAGACGTCGAGAGATGTTGGTGATTGGCATCCCATCATCCTCGTAGATTGTTTCACTCACACCAGACTTCTTGCTGCCAGTGGCTCGGATGAGATGGAAGAGCTTCCGGCAGTTACCAGATGCAGCTGCTGCTTCCATCTCATTAGCACGCTCCGACCACCAGGCTTCCCGGTCCTTACGCAAGCTTTGCCCGATTTCATTACGTAACAGCCTTCGTTTGTGGTCATACTCACGGTCACCCGGAGTAGACGGACGGGCTTCCATCAGTTGTAAGGAGCCAGAAGAAACCCGGTGCTTGTAAGCGGGACGTTTCGCGAAGCCGCAAGCGGTTTTACTCGCCATTTTCATGGCGTGGTGAAGATGCAACTAATGCTCATCTATACTTTTCGGTGGGATGGTAGCTAGCCTAGAAGCTAGCTCCGCTCGATACTTACTTGCAACAGAAGTTGCAGCCAGTTTACTAACATCGATCCGTTGATGGCGGTCAATCCTTCGGCCACTGAAAAGTAAGGTGAGATTGGCGCAAGATTTATAGGTAGTTTATTTTGCTGAGTTTTTGTTAAATAATAACAAGCGTTTAGTTATTTAGTGTTTAGTCACACCATTTACGGTAACAAAAGGAAAATCAATAAGACCATCACTGTTTTTTAATTTTACCAATCTAATGAAAAATCATTAGAAACCGTCTAGCAATATTTACTGGATGGGAAACTCATTAGGATTCAGTGACCAAAGTAGAAAGTTCCTAGGGTATAGTCCGAATAGAAACGTCCAGAAAATTAGGATTAAGCAACGTTCACAATCATACTACCGTAGCTCACCTTTGGAATCGACCTTGATGAGAGACGAAGCAGTAATCTCATGATAAAGCAGTCCGAAAGGATTAACCAAATAGTGCTCATGATTGCGACTAACACACACCTAAAATAAATAAAAGAGAAACAATAAAAAATGTTTCCCAAAAGACCCAGCAAAATATAATTTACAACTATGGTAGGACTCAGGAATTCAACAAATAAAACTATGCATAAGCATAAGTTTGTAATTCAGAGACTTTTTGTTGGGAATATTAAAAAAATAGTATTATCATCACTATTTCAGCCTAAACTTTTGCAAACTAGACTTCGCTGACACTGAAAAATCAATAACACCACTTTATGAAAAGATTAAAAGTAGTTCGTTGGTGATAGCAACTAGCTTGTTAAAAGTACTAGAAATGGTGTAATAGATAAGATTAGTCTTCATGTACCAAAGCAAACGCCCTTTATACACCTGTTTTAGCTTTAGCACGGCTCTTGTAATAGTCTGACTAGAAAAAGTCGGAAGTACAACACTTATTGTATCCAGTCCAACTTTGCGCTTTCAAACCTAGTGTTATATCCTAGCGAAAACATAAGTACGGGTAATTCCCAGGACCTAATATTGGACTATTATTCTATGTATATTCTTATTGTTTAACTATTCGGTAACTAGATTATGTATATCTATATTCCTCTTATTATAAGTTTCATTTTGACATATGGATGATTATTATACGGTTTACTGTTCCTAAACTATACTCAGTTTACTGATTATTGTCTCCCACGTTCACAGCCACATTTGGCTTGATTTTGTACAAATATTATTTTCGACTTTATGGTGCGACGTGGTCTGTCTGTCTGTCAGGTATATAAACCGAGTATGCTTGAAATAAATGATTCGCATAGCAGAAGCTGTAATTGGTGTTCTGGACTGAAGTGGAAGGGCTAGGCGGATAAAGGACCAATAAGGACGCTAGATTACTCATACTAATCGAACGTCATTGATTGTCAGTGTTAAGGTCGGGAAAGTCGTATTTCCATTGGTGGATAATTCACGTGAATAAAAGCCGGACATAAAAACAAATGACGAATTAGGATACGTCCTTGGTTTATCTTGTTAAGTCATAACAAATTGGCGACGACCTTGAACAAGACACAACACCTAGCCACTTCGAACTGAAGGTATTCTAAGGTTCTTTAAGTTCGACTATATTGCTACTGCATTTGGTGGTAATATTAAGTGAATAATACTGATGAGAATGTATTTTTGAGAACGAAGGTTATTATTGAGACACCGTTTAGGAACACTGAACTTGGTGGCTTAAAAAAACCTTGACGTATGAAGTCACAGAGGTCTACATACCTAACATTATATATTACCACGGGCACGAAGAAGTTGGTGACTAATAAGTTTGCGGTGGAGTGGCAAAACAGCTCCGGAGGTTTTAAAGGCCGTGCAGTTTGCTGCTAAGCATGACTTGGAATTGAAATAATATGAAGCATCTGTTTTAAAGAAACACTACTGTGCTTTATTTTCTTCAGTAATCTACACGAAACACCTACATTTCCAGTTAACTAAAATCGATCCCCAAGTCTCTTGATCTACGAACATTACTATTATATTTCATCTTAATAAAGCACTAACCTACTTAAGTAAATAAAGCAAATAGATAATAAAAGTGACTTTTTCGAATGTTATTCGATTTGAGAAACTTTGACAAAACTATTGAAAGAGATTAAGTTACGATGATTTATGATAAGAACAGGTTTAGAATATGTGAACATATGGTAGACGTAAATGTGCCTAGAATTTCTATTCATTGCTTCGAAGTAACGTTTGGTTCAAGAAAAAGTGAACAGAAGTAGGTGCTTAATAATGCTAATGATTACTTTTGGACAGTTTCTGATTGGCCACTTACCAAGTTTGGAAGCTGATAGAATAAAAGTTACTTACAGTCACATGATTGTATATACTCGAATTCCATCCGAATAGATCTATTAAGCGATATACCGAGGCCAGTTTGCAACGGAGAGAACGTTCACGTCGAGAATAAACAGTCGCGTCACCACCACGCAAGTCATTTATCGGAATAACACCATTACGATGACCTGCATAAATTTAAATTACACGAAAAATACGATAATTTATAGACTAAATATATCCATGGAAGCGAGATGTAAGCACATACGACGTAACTAAACGATAATGGAATCCTTTGACTTTAGCAGAAGATGAATTACTTGCTCAAATGAAGTAGACTAAGGTCTCTATATCATTACGTTGGACATAAATCTGGAGCGAATGTAAAATGGACTCTTATTCGTTTATACAATTTGCAGTGCCTCACATCAGCATAGAGAAAAGAAACTACTAAGATGAAAAGTGGAGGATTGTAAATAATCATAGTAAGAAACTAAACATGCTGAACATATTTAAAATGGATTGGACCATCCCACTTTTGATGTTTGATTGATCAGTCTTGGTTGGCATATGTGCATCCTGTGCAGGCTGCCTTGATGTAGTCACCGTCACACGTTAGTATAGAATAGATGAAATGTGATTAGTGTAATTTAGGACTGATGTGAGCATGAAAATTTCAGCGAGGTAACAGGTTTGAATCTCGTTTTAAATACATTTCAAGTACAATAGCAGATCTTTAATGCATGAACCCATTAAATGTGGTTCGGAACTTAGCATATGAAACTATCTGGCCATTAACTTGCACTGACAAACATCTTATTATAATACGCTACGTACTTTTCGATGAAACCTTAAAATTAGAAGACCAAGAAAACGAAAGCCATCACCAAGCACTAATGTATGAACGAAAAATATCCTCAAATTTTCTTCAGGGTCTACGGTTATATATCCAAATTAATAATCTTAGAAGTGGTCATGCTTAAGGCAAACTCATCGTTTAAAATTACAGTATGTGGATTTAGGATTGTCTTTAAAATAAAATACATATTATCATATCGCAGAATAAGGGACATCAGGTCTAAATCAGAGGGGAGTTAGTCAACTAAGAAAGTGAAAGTCTGGTGACCAGGAATCTAGCAGGAAATTTAGACAATGTTTGCAGCAATTTTACGCCGAAACATCTTAACTTGAATCTTTTCGATCCCAAATTTTATGCAGTATGTAGGAGTATCCGAAACAGTTTGAAACCAGGGATTGAGGTGTTTCAATACGTGAATGCTTTTTGATGTTCAGGTTTCAAAACTCAAAAAATCGCGAAGATTTTTGAGTCGTAAAACCTAACAGTATTGAAAAAAAGGTTGAAAACCACCAAAACCTGTGAAGAATAAGGTAGAAACAAAACGTAGTATTCGACACAAAAAGATACAAGACAATTGCATCTAGAAGCATTTACGAAATATGTTTTCGTAATTGTCGAAGTGCTTTGTTTATGCAGTTACGATAGTATTACAAGTGTATTTAACCCACAGATGTCACTTTTTCATTCATTTTTCAAGCGAAATCCCTCACAAGGCCTGTTGCCAGCATTGAAAACGCTTACCGATGAAGATTTATGTATCGGCTTTTAAACATCATAAGAATTCGAGAGCGAAAACAGCAGCGAAGGTAGAATTCTAGTACCAAAACATCAAAGATTAATGAGGTCAAACGTAATTACTAAAACACTTATGCGATTAGAAGTAACCTCTAGACATACTATCTGATCTGCAAACCTGAAATGATCAAAGACACACTAGGGAACTGAAATTTTCCGTGGAAAGGCAATCCTCCTGAAAATATTTTGGCAAATAGCGCTGAGTGTATTAAGATGCCTTAAATCTGACTAATTCTCGCTCATAAGGTTATAACCAGCAATTTGCTCCAATAAATAAAAAGCCTTTGTTGACTTTAAAGATACGATATTCAACAGTCATACAAAGTTAGGTTTTGGTTATTTTAAACTTTTATTTCACAGTCACTGCTGGCATAAGGAAAGACAGTTTGATAATGGATATATTGACTATAAAACAAAGTTCGCGAAGTGATATTTGGAAGGTTTCTTTAGAAAACCTATATTATATGGATTGATTAACCGAACAAGAATTGCTACACTTAAAGGAGGAATACCACATATGGCTTTTCGAGAATAACGGCTAACAATGTGTGAAATTATTTTGATCAACTCAGAGAATGCATTGAATTGATGGAACACCAAATTATAAGAATTAAGTATAGGCAAGACAAAAAGGTTGACCTGCCTCTCGAAAACCCACCCCCACCAAGAGGTTTTCCAGAAGGGGCAGAGGTGAATAAATCCGATATGTGTTGCAGGGACAAAAGACTAGTGTTCATACCAGGATAGTCACCAGATTGACACTGAGAACGAATAACCTCTTCCAGTTCTCGTCGAAATGCATCCGACTTCAGTATGCCGGACACACGCTGTCGTTGAATCATCAAGTTTACATCTTCTTTTATACAAGCAGGGCGCATTAAACTTTTCTGATACTCTGGATCCTCAGGATCTAAAACAAGCTAGATGGATGCAAACTAACTGACCAATTTTGTCAATAAACTTGTCTGGTTTATTAGACAAAACGACTCCGTTAGCAACATTGCTGTCAGGCATTTCAACTAGCGGGATACAATAAAGTGTTGATGACACCAGAACTCTTAGCAATGCATATAGAGTCTAAAGCCGAATGGTCTTAAGCAACCCGCCGAAGATGTACGGCGCCATACAACTGACAATGAAAAGAACAAACAACTACGATTAATAGATTTATTTGCAATCAAGTGGGATAGAAGTGAAGTGTGTGGCCTCTGACACTAACGCTTCAGTTATCAAGGATTATTATTAGACCCGGTAAATAACTGATACTCCCATTACATCAATTTCAGTTTGGAAAGGACAGCAGGCTTGATGGCTTGTGTTAGTCCTGGCAGTGATGGTCTCTCAGTTGATGCAACTTTCTTCTGAAACAGTCGACGGATGGAGCCTCAACCATGTGCTAGGGCAATGAATTTCATTCGTTAATGATTCGATGGGAAAGTCGATAGTCAGCTGACAAGTAATTTGTTCTGAGCTAGTGAACATTTTAGAGTGTCCTCGTAAAAGCCTCAGTCCTATGCAAATGCAGGGGATTTCCCCTAATCCAATCAGAATTTCGAGATAAAATCCCAAAACCCATCCACCCTAGTTGTGTGAATGATAGTACAAGCGTTAGTATAACTCAAAATAGATAGTGCGTAGTGAGACAAGATGAAGGACATTGAACAAAACGATAGGTTTACACACACAACCAGTCATGAGATGCATAGGAGCAGTGTTATAAGGACATGAATATGAGAAACATATGTACTGAGGGTCACAATAACTTATGGCTAAAATAGAGTTGATAAGAAGGCGAAAATGAATCAGTGGTCACAAGCTGTCTGGGTTATTAAAATCTGTTCATAAGGTAGGGTCACTAACGTAGCTGCACGATAGCATAGGAGCTTCTAAACTGACATAACTCTGGAAGCCATGTAAGCACGTCTTTGGGCGTTTAGAAATGTTGTGGCTATTAAAAGGTAGGGAGAATTCTTATCCGTCTCCCAAAAATAAATAATCTACGGCTAAAGGTAAAGGTTTATAAACAGACGCCTGTGTTTCCAAATGCGTTAAACTCAAGATACGAAACATGTTGACGTTGTCAAATCAGCATTCAATGACAAAGAATGCTACTATTTTCAACGAAATCACTTTTTTTAACTATTTGTGCTAAAAGAATGCAAAACGAATAAACTGCATGACAAAGATATCTCGAGACACCTGGTCTAAGGACCAGAGGGATTAAATTACCGGTGAATACAAATGATAATTACTTTGTAACGTTATTGAATGGTGGAGAAACAGGTGTGCTCTGAATTTCATGCAGCGACCAGTCCCCGATAAGAACGAGTACGAAGATAAGGGTTGAAAATCATTCAGTTAACCGAAGTCCCAACATTGGTCAGCTTGAGAAAGAGAATGACCTTATAATGCATTTATGGACTGCTCTATTTCGGCTGAAAAAGTGAGCGAACGGTAGAATATGCTTCCGTTAAAACGAGTTTCAGTTCTTTGATAATAACACCTATCTCGTCCTTTCTTCTGTACTGTTCTCTAACTCCATTCTTTGTACTCTAATGTATTTTAACTCATCGTAACCAATATATATAAAAGTACGTGCAGCAGTTTTTGTCATGACTGAATGCGAACGGCGAAAACCACTCCTAAAGGAGACAAGGGATGGCACCATATACTAATCCCATCATCTGCCGAATAACGTTTATTGTAATTCACAAACAACTTATTTCTGCATAATTATCGTGAAGAATTCATTTCGGGTTTCTACAGAAATGCAATTATATATAGGTTTCAATAATGCCTACATAATATTCGACCTATACAAACAGGTTATATAGCATTTAGAATAATATTGAGCTGACTTTAAATAAAAAAGGAGGTGTGGAGGAAAGTGCACTCTGAAAATCGCTCCACAGTATTTTATTGGACAGCACTGTCATTTATTTGTCCCCTCTCCTAGTCCTGTGTTTTAACCTTTACTCAGGTCTCACCTAACCACACTTTGTGTTCTCCAGTCTTCCTCGGTTGAGCTTGTGTTAGAGAAAAAGGTTTTACATTCTGAGGTGTTTCAAACTTCTGGTATGATCTATTCCCTTCTTAAATTAGAGCCGTTTAAATTGGACACACTTTGTGCTTTGATATGATTTAATACAAGTCACCAAAAAACGCTTCATGTGCTATGCAGAAGAACGTAGTCTGGCTTAATCTGTTATTTGAGAGGAAATTATTATTATTAATAATCGAATTAACTTTGTTTCTTCAGTTCTGCGTTCGAACCGAATATTCATATTTCAGTCGTTAAAGGAGGGAAAGAAAAGTGAATTGTGTAAATGGTTCAATAATTATGTTTGTAAAAACGAGTGAGAACAAACAGTAATATATGTATCACAAAAAGAGTTAAAAAACAAATCACTAACGTTGTGTAGCTTGATGGTAGGATAATAGTGTATGCATAAATAGTTAGCAATGATTTTATCATAATATGAACCAATTGGCTTTCTTTGTTTGAATATATGAGACGCAATGTGCTGGACACAAGTTCACACTGTTGCTGTGCCTCAAATCGAATTCATTACGTGTTGAGGGGTTTCAGTATTTGTCTGTGCAGAATCGGATTTCGTTTATGACTGCCATCAACGTAAATAAATCCACTTTTATTAGCGTTTATTACCAGGTCACATGTCACAGTCCATTCATATACATGGTCTATGTCTTCTCGATTTACCACTAAAAGAATGGGTAAACTACTTTTAGGTGGTTAACAGAAAGGGATGGTTTACCGTATGGAAAGAGTGATCATATGTCAATAATGAAAATGTTGGGGAGTAGTGGCTCAATAACACTCCCTTCTATAATCCTACTGGTTACATAATAATAAGAACATGTTAAATTACGGCTCCTTATGTCAAGTTGGATGTCATTAACCAACGGTATCGATGCGAACTTATCCATGCAAAATACCTCTTCAAACCATGTTAAAAAAAGCTGAATGGGTTCCACTTCCTACCGAGTAATCCTATTACAAGCAAACTAGACAATTGGCTAAAAACGAAGCCCACTCCATACCCTATAAAATTTAAAAACAAAAAAGAGAGTTCAAACAGCTGCGAAAAAAGGGAGACAACCATTTGTATCGGAATACTGTTTTCAGCACTTTATTTTATAATTACACATAACTCCATGCTTCTTTCTGAACTACTTTCATTTATACAGTTTCTTAGCCACTGATACCTTGTTCACACTTAGTTTTCTTTAGCAAATTAGTATGCTCTTCCCTAATAAGGACTTCAGTAACAGACAAATAGACTAAATGGTTATACCTTAAATAATCCTCCATGAATATTGTGTGCTCTGCTTTCGTCCTTTTTTTCTTACACCTTTTTCAGCCCCCTGGAGATACCCCACCGAAGACAGATATGGCACGGGCGACTTCGTCCTACACTGTTACTGAAGCCGCAGATATTCCGGAGGGATATAAGGTCGAAGCTATTAAAAGCCCCCAACTTCGCATGTATCTATTCTTGACCATCAGCTGTACGTTTAACGCTACCTTCATAAAGTGCGCCAAGTGTGATTTAACATGCTCCTTACGAAATCCATTTACATTCAAATCTTATAAAATATCAACCCAGCTGAGTAATTTTCTACAGTGAAAGTTGTAACTTCTGTACCAATTGGATCTTGCCTGTAAAGCGGCATGCCTCATGTAACAAACTGTTATTTGAGAATAAATTATTATTATTTCCTCTCAAATAACAATTTGTTACATAAGGTATGCCAGTTTACAAGCAAAATCATAGGTTTAGAACAGCAAGATTCAAAGCGAAAGATTTGGCCAAGTTCTTTTAAAAATGATTTGAATCAGGATAAAAGTAGGTCCAGTATGCAAAATGAGTAGTTATGAAAGGGGAAGATCAATATGCAGAATCACCACTTATTAACCATCTGGGGAACGAAACTTATCACCCATACCAATCATTGATAAGCAGTTAACTCTTTCAGATCACCACTCTCTCAACAATTCCCGACAGAGTGTAACCTAACTTCATTATGTGCTAACTGACCACTTACTACCGATAACTATACAGTTGATATGGCCAGAGCCTTCACAACTTAACACACAAGCAGCACAGAGCTTCATATAGTTATCACAGAAATGTTTTGACACGTTTACAGTCTACGTACAACGTCTCTTGGAAAGCTATAATGTTTTCCCACTCAAGCCCCAAAGGAACTATGTGAAGCCTTTGAGGAAAACGGTGACGCAACAAAAGATGTTAGAGCTTAAATGCAGGAACTCTAAGATAACCGACCGAGATAACTATGGCATTTAGGAAAGAAGACAAGCGATTTTATCGCGATACAAAACACCTTAAAAGTCACAACCGTTTCAACAAACTGGTCATTCCACGAGGTCGCCGAAACGACCCATACGGAAACCCTCACAGGATTGCTCACCAGCTGTCAAACCTCATGATAGAGACTCACTTCCTCTTACTGCAGTCCAGTTTCATCAAGGACCCAGTCCTAACTCGCTAAACTGCTTTCTCGTAATCGTCTGACTTGAACTAATGCTAGAGGACTACAGAAAGAAGCACGAACCGACATTTCCCTCTGAAATATTGTGTTGCCTCAGAAGCAGAAGACTGTAATCAGCTTTACCTAATATTGTGTGGTAATACTGTTGTGGACGAGACGGCCGGGGAGAACTAATTTATTGTCTAATGCAAATTACGCGGTCGCTTAGCGAAGTATGAAAATAAAACATTAAATATACTGCTTCCATATCTTCCCCCAGTTTTCCTTGACATGCTTCATTATTCTCTTAATTATGTCATCATTAAAATTACTCTCTACCTCCCCTCTCTCTTCACTTCAATATTCTCAATCTTCTGACAAATATCCCACTTCCGACAGTTGCTCACCCAACATAAATAGCATGCATCGCAATATCACCTTTTTTCTTTTCTGATAATTTGTCTACCACTTTATTTTCAAACGGCTCCATTATTCAGTAAGTCTGAAGTCTTCCAATCCTCACACTAACGACTCCGGGTCAACACGGTCCAGTTAACCTTGATCCGGCGGCAAGATGCTTTCTGATCACAGTAGCATCGTT